CTACCCCCTCTACTCTCCCTCCCTCTCCCTTCTCCCCTCCCCCTCTACCCCCAGATGGCAGATGCACGATGCTCTCCCGTTGAGTTGTGAGAATTATCTAACAAGTATTGTGGTGTTTGTGAAAGGTCAAGCGTCCTTATTGACATAGCCCATTTAACTAACAATTGCGTGGGTAACCCGAGATAGACACAGAGAGCCGTGGTTTAGAGGATAGCTCCTCATCGACGTGGTTATACAGCTATGAACGTTCGTTGTTGTCTCCTGTGGCAAAAAATGGGGACGCCCTATTAAAAACATTAATTCAGAATACGACCGACACGTTTAATAAGAGTCAGATTTCGTCTTTGGGTCGTAGTGTGTCTGTGTAGTGTATGGGATGCGGTTCTTCACATGGTGTAACGTTTCACTGGACTTTCTGGTAAATGCAGGTCTCTGATTGGTGGCTCGGGTCTCGTGGGAGTAAAGCGATTGCCAATCAGAGAGTGTTTTCCCCTTCGTTTCCCGCCAGTCACCCGTTATTAACCGACTTATTAGATGAGATGTAATAATAATGATAATAATAATAGTAATAATAATAATAATAATAATAATAATGATGATGATAATTGTTCTGCAAAGTCATCATACGAGTTTACAATTGGTTTGGCACAGGTATATAGACAATGCAGTTATACAGTTCATCATATTTTACCGGTATATAGATAAGACAGGTGTACACAAACCATGCAGGTATACCATTTCCAGTGTACCTAGACAGTGTAAATATACAAACAATGGTAAACAGAGAGGCAATTCGACCAAGGACTGTCAGGAAGGACACTAGGTGCTTATTGCCACTAAGGTCAGGTTGGGTTAAGTTTTGATACGTGTTTGGTTTAAGATTGGTTGTGTGAGTGTTTTTTTTTTTTTGGCTAATTTTGTTGTGCTAGGATAGGTTAGGTTGGGATAGTATAAGGGTTAAGTTATGGATAGGTTAGGGAAGGGTTAGTTTCGGTTAGGTTTTTAAGGGAAGGTTAGATTAAGTTTAGGTTTGTTAACTAAGCAAAGGGCCCGCACGTTAATCTGCTTTTAGAATAAGTTAATGGATATAACAGCAGCAACAGATGAACAAGTTAACGGATAGAACAGCTGCAACAGATGAACAAGTTAACGAATAGAACAGCAGCAACAGATGAACAAGTTAACGGATAGAACAACTGCAACAGATGAACAAGTTAACGGATAGAACAGCTGCAACAGATGAACAAGTTAACGAATAGAACAGCAGCAACAGATGAACAAGTTAACGGATAGAACAACTGCAACAGATGAACAAGTTAACGGATAGAACAGCTGCAACAGATGAACAAGTTAACGGATAGAACAGCTGCAACAGATGAACAAGTTAACGGATAGAACAGCTGCAACAGATGAACAAATTAATGGATATAACAGCAGCAACAGATGAACAAGTTAACGGATAGAACAGCAGCAACAGATGAACAAGTTAACGGATAGAACAGCAGCAACAGATGAACAAGTTAACGGATAGAACAGCTGCAACAGATGAACAAGTTAACGGATAGAACAGCTGCAACAGATGAACAAGTTAACGAATAGAACAGCAGCAACAGATGAACAAGTTAACGGATAGAACAGCTGCAACAGATGAACAAGTTAACGGATAGAACAGCTGCAACAGATGAACAAGTTAACGGATAGAACATATGAACACGTTAACGGATAGAACAGCTGCAACAGATGAACAAGATAACGGATAGAACAGCAGCAACAGATGAACAAGTTAACGGATAGAACAGCTGCAACAGATGAACAAGTTAACGGATAGAACAGCTGCAACAGATGAACAAGTTAACGGATAGAACATATGAACACGTTAACGGATAGAACAGCTGCAACAGATGAACAAGATAACGGATAGAACTTATGAACAAGTTAACGGGTACCATCTTCGACTGCTACAGCTATGTCTGAGTGACCGTATAAATGGCGGTGTAATTGCGTAGCTCCTCGCATACAGACGGTCTGGTGCTCCCGCCGCCCCTACTATTTGACGCCGTAAATCAGGGGGTGGTTTGCGTAGTACAGTAGTTAGGACCTGCCCTCCTACCAACCCACCCACCTGCCCGCCCGCCCTCCCGCCCATTACTCTTGAAACACCTCTGAAAAACCAGCTTGTGGGATTCGCACTAAAATTGTTTCCTCGGCGTTTCTTCATCGTTGCTTAAAAGAGAAGGGAGGAAGGAAGGAAGGAAGGAAGGAAGGAAGGAAGGAAGGAAGGAAGGAAGGAAGGAAGGAAGGAGGTTGCCACAGTCAGCCAGTCAACGTCCATCTAGGCAAATACCGCCCCGGTGGTCCCCTGGCGGCAGTGTTGAGTAACAAGGCGACTATGAATAAATAAATAAATAATTGCTAGCTGCCGTGGATGATCTGCCAACCTTGTTTGTGGCTCTCTCTCTCTCTCTCTCTCTCTCTCTCTCTCTCTCTCTCTCTCTCTCTCTCTCGCTGATGGCAGGCACCTTGTTAACTAAGAGTCACGAGGGAGAGTGGCACCTGGCTCATAGCAACACTTACCTCTCACCGGAATTTAAATAAATATTACCTTTCCTCACCTAAGTGCTGGGGGGGGGGGAGTGGGGAGAGAAAGAGAAGAGGGGAAAGCTGGAGGACTAGAGAAGGAGAGAGGGAAGATCTAGTAACCGCTAAAATAATTTGAAGGAACAACTCGATGTACGTAAACATATCATGAGTTGAAGATGAAATATTTGATATTAAATTCGTCATATGATTGATGGTTTAGTGTGGTGATCCTGGTTTTGTCTCCAGGGAATTGTATGAGCCAGGAAGTAAGTATTTCTAAACCATCCACTCACTGTCAAGGGTTTTGGATGGCTTCAGTTGTATAAGGTTGGTGAAACAACAGCACTCAACCTGACAGATACTAACTGCTCTTGACGTCACCACAATCACCTTCCCTCCCAAGAAACTGATTACACTCCGTTCTTACCACCAACAAGGCTGTCAGAACCAGGAGGTCTTGAAGTCTTTACAGAATACCCAGAATGAAAACCTCACACAGGCCATATACTGTATACTGACGGCTCTCTCGACTCTGCTAGTAGGGAATGTAGGGCGTTTGGTTAGGAATTATTCTAACCTAACCTAACCTGACCTGACCTGACCTGACCTCACCTCCCAGTCTTGCAGGAGTCAAAGCCACAGCCACTGCTCTTAATATCCTCAGATCAGAATGTTACAAATTATCTCTTGACGTCAGATGTACACGTGCTAGTGACAGGGATTCAGGGTAAGTTGTTATGGATTCTCTCTCAAGTAAGTTTCCAAGAACACGACAAAATTGATGCTGTTGGTGAGCTGAGGCAGAGACCGGTAATCACGATATTGAATTGTCGAATAGAATCTTTAAATATTTTAGTCACGAGTGAACTGGCCGGTGACGTGGAAGCAAATCGAAGAGTGGAAACAAGCATCAGTATAACCTTAGACAAGTTGATAAGCTCAGTACTGTATGTAGAGTCAGTCACTGTAAACCAATGTAAAGAATCAACTATAAAAATCAGTGTTATGATTATCTATCTATTGTGGTCTGTATACCCAGTGTTATTGCTGCACTCTGACCTTTAGGATCTTACAAACGCACAGTGCAACCTCTGTTCTGTTGTTCTTTTATGCATTACCGTCCACAGGGTAAAACACGGGGTGCACAATGAACTAGCAGCTGTCCCCGGCAAAATTAGGGAAGGAGTTTTGAGAAGCTTAAGTGTCCTTTTGCCCGTCTACATTTCCTACGTGCGTATTCTCTCCAGTGTCCTGGGTAAGATTTTGGGCCAATCTTGGTGAGAATATTCCATAGTCAGATTATATAGCAGATGGTTGTCGTGCTCAGGGAACAAAGTCAGGGTCACGTAGTACTGAGAATCTCACAGGAGCAGGGAGTGTTGTAATGGTTCCCTAGCGTGTGCTTGTACAGTGACACCCCACACACACACACATACCATGCCAGCTGTTCATGAATTCAGGTGGTTCACAGATATCCTGAAAAGAGGGGCCTTGCTTCACAACAATCTCGTCAGTGGAAGTTAACAAACATAACATAGCGTAGTGGTAAGGTTGAACTCTCACGATGCGGTTGAAGACGATACAGAGTCCACCTGAACGAGATACAATGCCTCTTCCCTCCTCTCGCTCCCTCCCACAGACATCTTCATGGGTTAGGATTCTCACTACACACTTTTGCTAGGTAGGTTAGGTTACGTTTGTCCTACTCTACTTATTTGCGTTAGGAGGTAAGGAAGGGGGAAGGGTTTTACCTTACAAAATTTCACGCAGGTGTGACGTCCTACTCAGGAAAATTACAACAGAGGGAGAGGGAGACAAGATGCCCTGGAGTCGCTGGGAACACCACACTAAACACATCTTCCTCGCCACAACTCTGCATAAGACTCGTCAATTAACTGAGAATGAGAGAATAGAATGGAGTTATTTTTAGTCCCAGAACAATTTAGAGTACATTTTTACTTTATTTAACCATATTTGTGACTCCTCAGTCCGCTAATGGGAAAAATTACTTAACGTACGGGTCCACACACAGCTGGGATTCTCAGTGGGACATACGTTAAATTCGGTGGCGAGTCGCCCGTCGTGGTGGAGGTGCTTGGGGAGTCTACTGCCGCTGCCCCACTAACTTATGGGCACCATTATGCGAGCGTGCACCTTTTTCCCTCCCGAGTGCATCTGCCCCACCAACCTGCCTCCTGGATAATATCGTTATTATCAACACCTATATTCTCGTTGGGATACAGGGAGAGTGTGTGTGTGTGTGTGTGTGTGTGTGTGTGTGTGTGTGTGTGGTCATTATCCTACCTAACTAGTATAGTATCAACCTCCTGCGTGGTGTTGTCTTAGTAACCTCCTAACATCAACACCACCCAGTCACTACCATGACCTCTTGTGTAATAATTTCATTATCTCCTTCACAGAACTGACTGATAAGCTGGGGACACACATAAGCAGTGAGGAGGCGAAGTGAGAGGTGAGGGAAGCTTGGTGGTGTGGGCGCGTGTCATCCTCGTCACCTTGACAACCCTGCCGCCACTCACCACAAACCACGCACCACGTCTCCACTCCCACCGGCGTCACCAACACACAGGAGCCACTACTTAAAACATCCGCGGTGGCTGTGAAGAGACAGTTGTTATTGGTAGACAGTGGCACTATCGGCTCTCCACCACCACTGTTACCACCCCTACTGCCGTCGACATCATCACTGTCATCACTTCACCAACGCTGTTAAAACCTTCAGGAGAACTGGTAGTAAGATTGCACAGACAAATGTGAATGGTGAATATTGTGTTTGATTTAGTGACCTGTGAAAACTATGCATTTTACAGGTGGATCGTGGACTTGATCCTGTAACAAAAGTGAACCAGAAAATTATGTGCTCTCGGGAGTGAACATTATATGAGAGTGGTTGAAGGAACATGTAAAGAAGTAGAGGAAGAGAATGGTGGAGGTAGAAGAGTAAGCAAGAAGTAGGAGGAAGAACCGTAGCTCATGTTGGGGCAGTGTGGGGAGTCTTAGCTGGCAGTTCTCTTACCCCACACACCACCACCACCATGGAAAAGCTGTTCTTACCTCTTTCACAGCTGCTGCTACTGCTGCTTCATGGCTGCTCGGGTCTGTGGCTCGGTAAGTGCTCAAATGTTTTGTGTACTTTGTGCGGTTGTGTTTTAGGAAGGAGTTTCAAGTAAAACGTTTACATATTGGCAGTTTCCAGCAAGGCTAGAGCTTGTTAACTTTGTAAAGTAGGTCAGACAAGCGCGCGTGTAAACTGTTCAACACAAACTTCATTTGCATAAAAAAGTTGAGGGAATTTCATGTATTTTTATTCTTGTTCAGAGGAGAAACATCACAGACCAGCAGAGGCATTAAGTTGCCTTCGTCATAACTTTAGAGAAACACATTTATGAAAACTATGTTAGTGTCATTAATTATTATTCAAGAGTGATTAAAAAATATATATATTAAAACGAGATAAAGTTACAGATATATTTAAACAACAACAATAGAAAAATATCACAATTAGAGGCATTAACTTGTTCATGAAGGGAGTATAAACTTATCCTCCAGTCTATGTTCTCTAATGTTTCCATCTCCTGACACTCGGAAGGATGTGTTACCTGTGTTGATTGATCTTATATATCAAATGTTATCTTCCCTTTCATCTTATTCCCGTGAGACCTTTATGATACATGCTGCTTTTACCGCCCTGTCCACATCAGCCCTCACAGGAAGATACAGTATTATGTAGGAGTATTAGTGTTATTATGAACGCGCCCGCCTCTTGCTGCGGTAGACTGACCAACACAGGTGATGTCTGGGGCTGCTTCACGTGGTTTCTATGACGAGATACGTTATTTATCTGTTGATGTTGTAGAAGAATTATTAACGTTTGTGTTTATTTGATGTCTCTCTCTTTCTTTGTTTTCTTTCTTTTTCTCTTTTTTTCTCTTTTACATTTTCTGTTTTTTTCCTCTCTCTCTCTCTCTCTCTCTCTCTCTCTCTCTCTCTCTCTCTCTCTCTCTCTCTCTCTTTCTCATTCGTTCGACAGCTGACCCTCCATCTTGTTGTCACCAGGAGAGTGCAACAAGCCGCTGGGGGTGTCGACAGGTGAGCTACTCGACTCTGCCCTCACCGCGTCCTCAGCCCACGACAACATCGTTGGCCCGCACAGAGCCAGGTAGGTGCCCATGCTCACGGTGTCCACGTGTAACTATTGTGTTTTGTTTTGTTTCTGAGGTGTTTTTTTTTTTTAATCTTCTATAACATGTGTTTTACTGTGTGTTTAAGAAGTTTTTTTTTTACGATTTTTTAACGTGTTTTATTCATGTGTGTTTAATTTGGTGTGAGAACATGTGTGATGAGGTTTAGTGTGTGTGTGTGTGTGTGTGTGTGTGTGTGTGTGTGTGTGTGTGTGTGTGTGTGTGTGTGTATAATGTATGCAAGTGAGGGCAGGGGGTATATGGTTAGGGCATGAAAGAGTACAGTATCTCAGTTAGGGCAGGGCCATTGCTAGCATATGTAAGTGGTGACTCCTGGGTGTTGAAATATATATCTCCTAATTGTGTATAGCAGTGTGTGCCTTGATAATATTATGACATCTCTCTCTCTCTCTCTCTCTCTCTCTCTCTCTCTCTCTCTCTCTCTTTGTGTGTAGTAACAAAAAGAATAGAAATGTTTCGATATTATTAACAACCAAACACCAACAACCAAAAAACTAGAATATTGACTCCGTTTATTACACCTATGAGAGTTGAGGTAACTTTTCCCCTAAACGTATGAGGTGAGGTAGTTTACAGGAGAGAGCCTTCAGTATCGTTGTTATTGTTATGCTTATTGTTATTATTATTGGTATTATATCCGTTATGGCTCTTATTGTTATATTTTTTTACCATGTTCTCGTTTATTCATTTGTTAACTTTTATTTAGTTGTTTTTCTCTTATGTGATAGTAAATAAATGTTTTGAATACCCATATAAATATTCACAATTTTCGCCATGATAAGAATAGGGGAGAAGTTCTTAATGTTTTACACTGTGTGATGTTTCCACTACTCGTCTCGTATTGCAAGATGGTAGATGATCACTCTTTGGAAGCTGTTATAATACCCCTTCCCCCATGGCCCGTGTGTGTGTGTGTTTGTCAAGGGTGCTGTATGCAGACGTATTATTAGTGTTATTATTGTTATTGTAGTTATTTTTGTTATTATTATTATTGTTGTTGTTAATATTATTGTTATTACTTTATTTTTATTATTAGGAATGTATCTTGTTAGTTATCTCCTGACACTGGTATGGTAACACTGCACAAGTCAACAAGTCACCACAGATCTTGGTAACACTGCACAAGTCACCACAGATCTTGGTAACACTGAACAAGTCACCACAGATCTTGGTAACACTGAACAAGTCACCACAGATCTTGGTAACACTGAACAAGTCACCACAGATCTTTGGAGCCTAAAAAAACTCCTACAGTATTGAATATCAGTGATGAGAATGAGGTGAGGGGAGGGTAATATTGCTGGCGGGCTGAGGGGAAGTTAGGAGGAAGCACCACTACCACCAACACCACTATCACCAACACCACTACCACCAACACCACTATCACCAACACCACCACTACCAACACCACCACTACCACCAACACCACTACCACCAACACCACTACCACCAACACCACCACTACCACCAACACCACTACTACCAACACCACTACCACCAACACCATCATCACCAACAACTACTCACCACCAACACCACTCACCACCAACACCACTACTCCAACACCACTACCACCAACAACACCACTATCACCAACACCACTACCACCAACACTGCCATAACCAACACCGCTACCAATTAACACCGCTACACCACCAACACCACTAACACCAACACTGCTACCACCAACACCGCTACCACCAACAATTAATTCCCACCACCACCATTACCCCCACCACCACCACTACCACCAACACCACTACCACCTGAGCCAATTCTACCACCAACACTCACCTCACCACTAACACCACTACCTCCAACACCACTCCCCCACCAAACACCGCTACTACCACCACCATCAACACCACTACTACCACCACCACCAAACACCACTACTACCACCACTACTACCACCACTACCACCAACACCACTACCACCACCACCACTACCACCAACACCACTACCACCAACACCACTACCACCACCACCACTACCACCAACACCACTACCACCAAAACCACTACCACCAACACCACTACTACCACCACTACTACCACTGCCACTAACACCACTACCACCAACACCACTACTCCCACCACTAACAACAACAGTACCACTACCCCCCCTACCACCACCACCATTCCCTACCACCATCCCCTACCACCCAGCTACAATATTCACTCACAGACGAAGGTAAATTTCAATAACAATTTGTAGGTGGACTTTTATTGCCTCGACTTAAAATAGTGAAGGATATAGGAGCCGACCAGACCAGGAAGCAGAACTGAATTTCAATTGTCATTAAAGATCGTGAGTTAGGTTAGGTTAGGTTGGGGGAGATTTTGTTTTGGGTTAGGTTAAGGGTGGTTTAGGTTAGGTTTAAGTTACGTTAGGGGAGGTTATGTTATTTGGTTAGGTTAGGGTTTGGTCAAGTTAGGTTAGGTTAGGTTAGGTTAGGTTAGGTTAGGTTAGGTTAGGTTTGGTTAGGGTTTGGTCAAGTTAGAGTAAATTAGGTTTCCTGAGGTTATGGGTTTACAGTATGTCCCTGGGTTACTCTTAAGTCTCAAGAACCCGGTCGTGGCAACATTCACTGTCTGTATATTCGTTCGTGGCCAATTTTTCCCTAAACCTCTACGGTACAGTACGTGTCATTAGCGTCCATTACCCTCAAAGATCTCTTCTCGTTCCCCAAAGACCTCTCCTCACCCCCAAAGACCTCTTCTCCTCCCCCGAAAGACCTCTCCTCACCCCCAAAGACCTCCTCCTCCTCCCCAAAGACCTCTCCTCACCCCCAAAGACCTCTCCTCACCCCAAAGACCTCTCCTCTTCCCCAAAGACCTCTCCTCCTCCCCAAAGACCTCTCCTCACCCCAAAGACCTCTCCTCCTCCCCAAAGACCTCTCCTCCTCCCCCGAAAGATCTCTCCTCCCTACACGAGTCTCAAGTAGATGCCCAGATATTGCTAAATGTTTCGAGGGAATTTTTGTCTGAAACTCTACTGTACAGGTATAGCTGAGGCTGATACGTGGGTAGACGGGAGGTTAGGTTAGGTTAGGTTATTCGATATTACAGTGGAGAAGTTATGGTCCATGGACGCCAGATAAAAACAAATGATAGGAGGGGAGTGTGAGGGGGGGTGGGGGAGGTAGGGTACTGTGAAGGGAGAGGGGGGAAGGATGGGATGTGTGGCCTGGCTGTCACATCTTGTCGTGAACGTATTACCTTTTGAGTTGATGGTGTGTGGCCATTGTTGATTCTCCGAGCTGTGTGTGTGTGAGAGAGAGAGAGAGAGAGAGAGAGAGAGAGAGAGATTTAATACACACTGCCATAAGAAAGAAGTGTGTTAAGATTCCAACTCAAGTGTATAGATGACCTGACCAGCACACTTCGGTGACCTGACCAGCACACATAAAGACCCTGACATCTAGGTGGTGTTTGAAGGCCGTAGTTACCGTGAAAAATAAACTACGCTTAAAAATTAGTGATCAATGAAGCGTGGTTGACAGATCAGAAGCGGCCGCCCGAAGTATGGTTAAGAATTGTTTATCAGTGTCTTTTAAGTGCTTCGTGAGTGGTGGTTGACAGCCCGAGTGTATTGTAGAGCTATCAGAATGAGCTAAGAAGAGTTTGTGTTAATACTGATGAGAGATAAAGAATCGTTTCATGGTGTAGGAACAAAAGATCTATATGATTTTTTGATTGAGTCGAGTCTTTACACCCACATCAAACGCCGGCTTGTTTATTTGTTGCTCTTGTCTGTGAGCGATTAATTAACTTCCCTTGAGAGAGAGAGAGAGAGAGAGAGAGAGAGAGAGAGGGATGGGTGGGGTGGGGGGGAGGGCAAAGGCGGGTCGTCTCATTATTCCTCACCGAGACTCTCCCAGGATGAACAAACCATATATTATTTATACAATTGAGTATAATTAGTTGACTTTATTGATTAAGAAACAAGAGTACAGGTACAGACACAGGTAAAGTTTAATAGTACAGGTATGTCGGGGTAATAACAATAAACAAACGTAACTAAAAAAAATATAGGGTTTTTTTTTTACATGAAAGGCTATTGTGTGTGTGTGTGTGTGTCCGGGAGAGCGCGGGTGTGACAGCGGGGCCAAAATAAAGTTGTGTGAGCCTTATGTCTTAACTGGAGTGTGACAAATAAGCTGTGACTTGACCACAATGCGCCTCGTTTGTCTTGTTTTGAGCGGCCGACCACCCGCCCTCTCCAACAATACTTTCCCGCGTTTTTTTCTTAATATATATTTTTTTTTATCATGTACATTATTTCCCCGCGCTTTTTTTTCATTTGTTGCCTCGTTTTTCCGCGCTTTCGTTTTTTATTCCCTTTAAACAGATAACGAAAGATTAATGTTGTGTATAGTGTAGATACGTTTAATTTAACATAATTTATGGAACTAGTTAGTGCAGTACAGAAAAAAAATGAGTGGCGAGAATACTTGGATTTTCAGCACAGCGTTATGTTATTCATGTCCTGAACGATGTTGATTACAAGTCGTCGTAAAGATTCGGAACATTCGGTGGGTCGACTGAAAAGACTCGAGCAGGTTCAATTGACCCTTAAAAAAAAGTGTTGTCGGGAGTGGGTATTCTGAGACAATCTGAGGATTTTTCCCATTTTTTCCTCATCTAATATCGCACACCTGGAGGATATTCTGGTAAGTTTTAAAGATGAAACCGAGGAAAGGGTTGGTTGGGTGGGTGGATGGTGAGGGACGGTAGGAGAGTGACTGGATGTTTGGTCTTAAAAACGCCTGGGGGGGGAAGACTGATACAGCGGCCCCCCCACCCCCTCGAGGTTTATCTTTTACTCTCTGCCGCCTCTTTTTGTCGAGCTGGGGAGTCGTGATGACGTCCAGTAGGAATGCGCTGCTGGGGTTCGCTACTGCTGGTGCTGGTCCTTCACTCCACCCCTCGTCCTTCACTCCACCCCTTGTCC